TATGGATGGATGGATATATGGATGATGGATGATGGATAGAAGGATGCATGGATGGATGGATGATGGATGGATGGATGGATGGATGAGGGATGATGGATGATGGATGGATGGATGGAAGGATGGATGATAGATGGATGATGGATGGATGGATGATATTTGGACAGATGGATGGATGAAAGAAGAATAGATGGATGATGGATGGATGGATGGATGGATGGATGGATGGATGGATGGATGATGGATAGAAGGATGCATGGATGGATGATGGTTAGAAGGATGGATGGATGGATGGATGGATGGATGATGGATGAATGATGGATTGAAGGATGATGGATGGATGGATGGATGGATGGATGGAAGGATGATGGATGGAAGGATGATGGATGGATGGATGGATGGATGATGGAGAGATGATGGATGGAAGGATGGTGGATGGATGGATGGATGGATGGAGAGATGATGGATGGAAGGATGATGGATGGAAGAATGATGGATGGATGGATGGAAGGATGATGGATGGAAGGATGATGGATGGATGGATGGATGGATGATGGAGAGATGATGGATGGAAGGATGGTGGATGGATGGATGGATGGATGGATGGATGGATGGAGAGATGATGGATGGAAGGATGATGGATGGAAGAATGATGGATGGATGGATGGAGAGATGATGGATGGAAGGATGATGGATGGATGGATGGATGGACAGATCACTTTATACAGAAACACATTGTATAAAACGTTGTAAATATTTTGTATTAGCCATGGCGGCCATCTTGTTTTGGGTTATTTTACCTAAAATCTGTGAAAAGCTTCATGAGATATTTTACTGAAACACAAACAGACTTATTACATAACTTCTGTTTCATCATCAGTCTCCCTTCCTCAAATTACACATGATTGACAGGTATTTTTTCTCAGTCTCATTAATGTCAAACTGTATTTCTTTGTCGTCATATTAGCATAAAAAACTCATTTTTCTCTTTTATCTGGTATATTTCAGGGCGTGGGGAGCCGTCTGTAGAACTAAACGCTGTTAATCCAGGCCCGGGGCCTCAGACAACAGATACAAACATGCAGCTGCTTTAATTACAAGCTTTTATACAAAACAAACAAAAAGCCACAAGTTGGTGTAAAACAAGCAGCCTCTGAGGTTAGAAACGGTTGTTACGTTTCTCTGATATCTGCCGGGATAAAACTTCTGTAAACGAGTCAAACATCAGATTTATTGGTTTTAAAAACATAAAAATATAAATGTTAAAACACTACCTTGTACGTAGACAGGAAAACCTTTGAAAACGACGCTTTTCTTGTTTCATGCTCCACGGCTGGTTTCCTGTTTGTGGTGCAGAAACGTTACAGCGCCACCTTCAGGCCTGGCAGAGTCACTGCAGGCTTCAGGTTCTTGGTGTTTCTGTGTGAACAAATACAGAAACAGTACTGCCTTTGAGTATTTAAAAAATACATTTTCATGTCAGACTGGACAATACTGACAAAAATTTATCTAAATAAACCACGATTAATAGATGACAACAGAGCAGTTCGTAGTTAAAAATGCGGCTAGCGAGGCCTAGCATTGCCAGGCCACAGTCCACCTGGATAAAAGCTGAGTCTTCTTT